AGGGCTTTAACTTTGTTAATTCTGAAACAAGTCAATAAAAACCTCATTAGCAGAGGGCTGGCTTACAAACCAATGTGAGCAACATCTGTATTACTGAATACTATACTGAGTAGGAAATAAAAAGATTTTCACAAAAAAAAACTTTTTTTTAAGTTTTCAATCATATACTCACTGCCATTTAAAAGAAACAATTGATAAGTTTAGGACCTGGTAAAGAAATGGGTGTGAACTTGAGCTCTGGCTACAGTCACCTAAACCATCTTAGATTTACTTCAGAAGGAGGCTGTAGAATTCCCCCAAACTGAGTACAATTGTGAGACTTGTTCTCAAGTAAATTATAGTTATTATGCTGAAACATGATAGGTAGACGAACTTAGAAGTTCTTCCCTTTCCTTTTCCTTTTAAATCCTTAATAATCTGTGGGGAATTTTGAGATGAAGAAGAGTGTGCTAAAAAGTGCCTAAAAATTCCAAGAATAAGACCACTTTACCTCTTAAATGAGACATCCAGGAACAGGGAGAGTTAGAATCCGCATAAGTAAGATTCTTGCTCTACCTAGTGGCCAACAATGGGATTAACCTGAAACAAGAAATTTGCCAAATTTGCAAAGACATGAGCATTCTTAACCAAAGGTGAGGGGTTGAGGCAGGGGTGGGCAAACTTTTTGACTCGAGGGCCACAATGAGTTCTTAAACTGGACCGGAGGGCCGGAACAAAAGCATGGATGGAGTGTGTGAACTAATATAAATTCAAAGTAAACATCATTACATAAAAGGGTATGGTCTTTTTTTTTTTTTTTTTTTTTAGTTTTATTCATTTCAAACGGCCGGATACGGCCCACAGGCCGTAGTTTGCCCACGGCTGGGTTGAGGGGAGGTTTGTCCACATGCTAAGGTAAAAGCACTAGGTAAAACAAGCATGATCAAATGTTAGTCTTCGGCAGTGCTTGTATTTTTCAGCTCTACTCTTCAAAGATGACCAAGAACTGACTGACCATCTATTTTAGAATTAATCCCAAACTAAATGTAAAGAGAGAGTTGGCTATTTACAACATAAAAGCATATTAACAGGCACAATCCTTCAGAGCAAATAGGAGTGCCTGGAAAGCAAAAAACCTTCATAGCCAGAATTGACAGATAAAATACAAGATGTCCAGTGTTATCTGAATTTTAGATAAAATTTTTTGTATATGTCCCAAATACCTAAAACTTAAGGACTTTTCATTTCAACAAATGAGAGGTTGCCAGATTGGGGGGGATGGAGGGCGGGAGGGAGGTGCAAAATGACTGAAGGTGGTCAAAAGGTACAAACTTCCAGTTATAAAATAAATAAATGCTGGGGATATAATGGACAACATGGTGACTATCCTATATAATAAAGAGCTAATATGCTAATTAGACCAAACAGCAGAACAACCATCTGGACGACCTTCTAGATGAAGCCAAGGCTGCGAGTGGCTATGAGGACCGGCTAGAGCTGTGAGGGCTGGCCAGGGCTGTGAGGGCCGGGCCCCTTCCATGAATTTTGTGCATTGGGCCTCTAGTAGTTAATCATACTGTATTGTGTTTTAAAGTTGCTAAGTAAGTAGAGTTTAAAAGTTCTCATTACAAGAAAAAAATAACTATGAGTGGTAATGGATGTTAACTAAACTTATTGTGATCACTTTTGCAATATACACAAATATCAAATCATTATCTTGACATTTGAAACCAATACAATGTTGTATATCAATTATATTTCAATAAAAAGACATAAAAATTACATCATGAAATCATCAAATGGATGACAGATTTTGAAAAAGATACTTAAACACACACACAAAATAAACCCAACAACACCAGAATATTGGTATGTAGATCATTTAAGGAATTCTTTAAAATAAACAAAAACAGTGCAGATCCCAATAGGAAAATGGATAAAGAATATGATTAGGCAATTCACAGGAAGGGAAAATAAATTGCCTACAAGTGTGTGAGATGATCTTCTGAGGTTAAAAAATGAATATTAAAACAATAAAATACAGAAAAACTAAGTCAAAGGACCAACACTACCTGACTTCAAGACTTACTTTAAAGCAACAGTAATCAATACAGTGTGGTATTGGACAAATAGATCAATGGAACACAATAGTATCTGAAAGTGATAAAGAAAAAAAAAGGCTATGGAATCTGCTTGAGATTTTATTCCGGGTGTGTGGAAAAACAATTTGAGTAAATTTAATGGGGAATAGTGAGTGAGAAAAAAGTTACTTCTTGCTTGCACTGGACCAAATGGAATTCAATAAAATACTGGTTACACGTGCCTACTAGATACAAAGAAAGAATGGTTAATAAGCAGTTTGAGAAAAAGAACAGTAAGAGCAGCAACAATAAGAATAATGAATATTGCCCTGGCTGGGTAGAGCATCGTCCAGATATACTATGGGTGTGGGTTTGATTCCTGGTCAGGATATGTACAAGAAACACAATGAATGCATCAATAAGTAGAACAACAAATTGATCTCTCTCTCTCTCTCTCTCTCATCAATAAATAAATATTTAAAAAATTTTAAAGAATAGCTAATATTTATAGAGTGCTCAATACCTGCCTGATATTTTCTAAGACTTTAAATATATTAACTCATTTAACCCTACTTCAGGAGATACTATAGTTATAACCCCCATTTTCAGATGGAGAAAACAAAGCACTTGTGCTAAAATCCCATGATACCTAATCTAGATTTAATAGCTGATCTAATTGCAGTTTCAACCTCTGCCAGAAATATAACCTTAATCAACCAGTTTGAAATCAACCAGGTCTAGCCAGGCAATGTCACATGGGCCTCCTCCCTTCCCCATAGAAAAAAAGCAATCTGCATGATAAAAAACAAAACAAAAACTCTTCTCTATCCTTTCCCTAAATAAAAGATGTCCCTACCCCCAAATAATCTTTCTTTTGTCATTAGGTCCCTTGTCCCACCCTTCTTTCTATAAAAATCTTCCATTTTGCACAACCCCTCAAAGCAGCCTTTTGTTTGCTAGATGGGACGTTGCCTAATTCATGAATTGCTTAATAAAGCCAACTAGTATATCCAAATTTACTCAGTTAAATTTTGTTTTTTATCTTTTGTTTTTTTAAACTCAGAATTGTTCCTTTCCACAAAAATCATTTTTTATTTTCTGCCTTAAAAAAAAAAGTTTATTGTTGAGTATTACAGATGTCCCCTTCACCACCCTATTGCCTATGTTCATAGGTAATGCATACATGCATATAAGATCTTTGGTTAATCTCTTCCCGGCAACCCTCCCCCTCACCCTGCCCCCCATCCCAAAATTCATCCATCTGTTCCATGTTTTCATGCTTCTGATTCTATTTTATTCATTGGTTTATTTATGTTGTTCATTAAATTTCCTGTTCATTTATTTTGACTTTTAGATTCAATTGCTGATAGATATGTATTTATTGGCATTTTATTGTTCATATTTTTAATCTCTTCTTCCTTTTTTTAAATTTTTGTTGTTGTTAATCTTCACCTGAAGACATCCTTCCATTGACTTTTAGGGAGAGTGAGAGAGGGAAAGACAGAAACATCGATGTGAGAAAAACACATCAATTGGTTGCCTCCTGAATGAGCCTGTGGGCTGGGGAGGAGCCTGCAACCAAGGTACATGCCCTTGACCGGAATTGAGCTCACGAGCGGTGGTTTGCCTACCACTGGGCTAGGGTGCTGCTTCCTTCTTAAAAAAAATACCCTTCAACATTTCATATAATACTGATTTAGAGTGAACTCCTTTAGCTTTTTCTTGTCTGTGAAGCTCTTTATCTGACCTTCAACTCTAAATGATAGCTTTACTGGGTAATCTTGGTTGTAGGTCCTTGCTATTCATCACTCTGAATATTTTTTGCCACTCCCTTCTGGCCTAAACACTTAATCTGTGGAATCTGACACAATCTTGAAAAAGAACAAACTTGGAGGTATCACACTCCCTGATTTCAAGCTATAGTACAAAGCTATAGTGATCAAAACAATGTGGTATTAGAGATCTTGCTTCCCAGTATCATCATCAGTTTGGCTCAAATAAAATCTTACAGAAAACAATGTGGTAAGAAACAAACAAAAACCAATAACAATGTGGTATTGACATAAAAACAGACACATAGATCAAGAAACAGAATAGAAAGCCCAGAAATAAACCCTCACTTTATATGGTCAGTTAATCTATAAGGAGGCAAGAATACACAATGGAGAAATGATGGTCTCTTCAATAAGTGGTATAGGGAAAACTGGACTAGATTTTTAGAAAACTCACTACCTGCTGAAAACCCATGGGTGGCTTCCTCTGCTCTTAGCATAGTCAGCAAGGCTCTGGGCCAACCTGCTTCCCCACCTCCCTTTCTGGCCCTGCGCCCAGGTCTCTAGGGGGCTGGGGGTCACTGCTGCCACTCTGCTCTCACCCAGGAGTGACTTCCTCCTAGATGGAACCTTCCTTGACCTTGTTCAGGTCAAATTCCCATTGCCATTTCCCAAAAAACCTCGAGCTCCTCAAAAAACAATGCAGTCATAAAGTCACTGCCTCTTAGATCCGATTAATACCCCAACCAGATTGGAATCTCCTGGAGGACCAGGCCCTTCTGTTATCAGAGGTTGGTAAACTTACTCCAGCCCACACACAGCAGCAGAGACCCCTTTCCCCAGAGGTCCTTGGTCCCTGGAGTCCGGGCAGATAGTACTCTAGAGCTCGGGAGGGGAATGAGATCAGTGTGGGCTCTCCTAGGAGCATTCACACCAGCTTGGAATCTTCCCCTTCCCTTCTCCACTCAGATGAATCCTGGGGAGGGGAAGTGATTGATGGGTCTTGATTTTCTAATTAGTAACATGGTAATATTGAGAGAATTGAGTTAATGCACCAGGTGGCTTGAGTTCCACTGGCAATCAGTGTTGTCTATTGCTAGCCACTTATAAACCAAAGGATTTCACTAGATTGGGTTTCATTTTTGTTTACAGTCCTACATACAATCATTCATTGCCCACTGACTCTGAAGGGTGCACTAGCTGAGGGCAATTTGAGGTTCCACATTTGTTGGTCCACAAAGCAGACGCCATCACGAAGTACTAAAGACAGGAAGACTCTTAACAGCTCAGCAAAAAAAAGTGTGCCAATGGTCTCTGGGTGAGGTTGTGGGGAAAGAGGCAATCTTAGATATATATTGTTGCTGAGTGTGAAATTATTTCAACCCCTTTGGAAGGCAAGTTAGTAGCATCTAGCAAAATTATATATGGTCTTTCCCTTTGGACCAGCATTCTGTGAATTTAGCCTATGGTTGTCTGATAGACATGCCATCAGAAGACAGCTCATTATTAGTCTTCTCTTCCATTATTGGTCAATCTCTAAGAACAGTCAAACACTTGCTAGAGTGTGATGCCTGTTTTAAGTTCCCTACCTGTATTAACAGCTAACCCTCACAACTTCATGTGGAGTCAGATGCTGTTATCTTCAATTTGGAGACTGAGAGGATAGAACTTGACTAAGGTCATAGGGCCAGAAAGTTCCCCAAGTGGGACTCATTTTGGTTTGGAACTACTAAGCTAGTCTCTACTAGGAAAAACTGTAGCCCCCATTCTGATGATCCCTCGACAAATCAGGGGTGATCCCCACCTAGAATAATGCCTTTATCTGCCTGCAATTTCACATACCCTTTGGGAACCCCTGTAAAGCGTGGTAGAGAACCCCAAAGCCCCCTTCAAGAGATCTGTTAGGTATGTGGAAAAGGAGAACCTATCTGTAAGGCTGAATTTTCTTCAAATTTCACCTAAATAACATTCTGCAGCAGACTGAAGATGAGAACCGAATGAGTTTACAAGGATATAAAACTGCTATACTAGCCGAAACCGGTTTGGCTCAGTGGATAGAGCGTCGGCCTGCGGACTGTGGGGTCCAGGGTTCGATTCCGGTCAAGGGCATGTACCTGGGTTGCGGGCACATCCCCAGTAGGAGATGTGCAGGAGGCAGCTGATTGATGTTTCTCTCCCATCAATGTTTCTAACTCTCTATATCTCTCCCTTCCTCTCTGTAAAAACTCAATAAAATATATTTTTTTAAAAAAACTGCTATACTAACAAGTTATTGGCACTTCTGTATTTGTTTTATAGAATAGTTGCTTTTCATTGTATACATGTTATGTTAATCTATTACAGGGCTATTATTTTTTTAATCTTACCTGAGGATATTTTTTCCATATGGTTTTTTTAGCGAGTGCAAGGGAAGAAGGGAGGGAGGGGGGGAGAAAGAGAAAGAGAAACAGATGTGAGAGATACATGGATGGATTGGTTGCCTCCCACACAGACAACCAGGGCCGGGGATCAACCTGCAACCCAGGTACCTGCTCTTGACTGGGAACTGAACCCAAGACTGAGTTGCAGGCCAACACTCTAACTACTGAGCAACACAGGGCAGAGCGATTATTTTTGAGTCAGTTCCAGACCATATCACATCTCCCCTAGATTGACCGGTTTTTGGTTGGAGATTTATCCCAAAACTTTGCTCGTAGACACCTGCCCTTTATATATACCATATATATATATATA